AGATATGGGATATGCTGTGCGTTGCGGACTACAGTGTGTGTGTGTGTGTGTGTGTGTGTGTGTGTGTGTGTGTGTGTGTGTGTGTGTGTGTGTGTGTGTGTGTGTGTGTGTGTGTGTGTGTGTGTGTGTGTGTGTGTGTGTGTGTGTGTGTGCGTGCATTGACAGGGTTTGGACCTGGGCAGAGAGTGCTGATGGGGCTGATGCTGAGAGAGAGCGTTGCAGTTTGTTCCACCATTAGAAAGACAGAGGCAGATGTCAGCACCAGCAGCTGCTTTAGTCAGCACTTTAAACATGCAGACACACACATGCACACACACAAACACACTCATTGACTGTGAGGAGGGGCTACCTCACTGTAACATGCAACACAGAGAAGAAATGAAGGGTACTTTCTGCTTTTTTTCAGTTTTTTCTTTGTCCATTCATCTAGTTTTCGTTGCTGAAAACAGAAGCTAATCGAAACCCGAGGACTGATTCACATTCAATCTGCTGCTGGCTTGACTGGTGGAACAAAAGTATTGATCGCCTCTCACCTTCCTGTCAGGGGACAAACCAAAGCAGCTGAGTTTGACCGGGAGCCAGCAGTAGGTGGCAGTAGTCAGTTACACAACACATGAGTAATCACAAGCTGTCTACTTTCTGGGGTCTGTGCACAAATCAACCGCTCTATAGTCCATGACCTCTGCATTTATTAACTATATTTAACCTCAAATCCACCAGCTTGTTATTTTTTGACATGTTTCTGAGCCCTATTGTTGTTGTGCATATCAAGGCTCCAGACAGCACAGTGTTCCCCTTGCAGCCTTGCTTTGTTTTCCAGTGATTTGCCAGTCTAGACACCCCCTCTTGTCTCGCTGTAATGCTGCGGTGTGTAATACGCAGGTGGCCATGACAACACTAACTGTATTAAGTTAGATTACCTGAGGCCTGCTGAGCCTCAGAGCCAGCCAGGGCTTCCTCCACACCACAGGCCACAAAAACACACAAACACAAACACACACACACAGACACACACACACACACGATGGAACACTTGCCTGCTGCTGCAGAAAATGCACTAATGATCTGCCTGCCTTCATTTATTCAGCTCATTTCACTGCGGTGAGTTGTAATTCATGTTGAAATGAAGAGGGACACATTAATTGTGCTTATGACTGAACAAGGGGCAGCAGCAGGAAGAGAACATTGGACACATATGTTTGTACCAAGGCTGTTGTTGGCCTGGCACTGAGGAGAAGGGAAGTACCGCAGGCTGCCCGGCCTCCCAAATCACAGCTCAGGTTTTTTGTCCTCTTGCGTGAGAGATGGATAGGGATGAGAGAGAGGTTAAAACCACGGAAACAGACAGGGAGAAATACTAGGACGAGAAGGCTGCCAGAGTCCAGGGTTATATAAGGACAAGAGTTTTCCATGGAAAAAAAAGTGCAAGAAATGCTGTTTGGAGTCACTCATCCTGGATAAGTGACGCGTGGAAAAGTGTGGAATGCTGTGTTGACGCAACTTTCGAGCATCAAAAGTGTGCACTGAGTTAGGATGGAAGTGGGTGAAAATGGACAAGGAGGAAGAGAGGGTGGGCATGTTCTGTGTAATAGCATGTTTGCGTGTGAGTGCACTCTGGATGTTTGTGCACAAGTGTGAGAGTGGAAAAGCGGAAGGAGAGAGAGAGAGAGAGAGAGAGAGAGTTCCGTAGCCTGCTGACGTAACAGTTCCTAACTGTTTCCATATAGAAGGCCTGGTGGCAGGCGCCAGGCAGACCCTCAGCATGGACACGTCTGGTACCCATCAGCCTGTGTGAGAGGGAGGATACACACTCACACTCATGCAGGGTTACACACATGCAACACACCAAATGCGTCACACTTTTAGTTAAATTTGAATGAGCGTCACTTGTGCAAAACATGACCATTCATTCATTTACATACACAAAAGTGAATAGTCATATGTACATTGGCAATAGTACTGGTGGGTTAGGCCAAAATCTTCCATCTCGGTATATTCAGAATCAGAAACGGGTTTATTGCCAGGTAGGTTCACACATACGAGGAATTTGACTTGATGTCAACAAAAAATCTCCATATAAAATAAAAAATGTAATATAAAACAAAATATCTTTAAGGACACTGTAATAAAATATAGTTAGATAGCAATAAAATAAAGGAGTAATTTACAGCAAAATAGAATGCAGTGAATTATAGAATATAAAATATGAAATAAGAAATATGTGCAGTAAGTAGTATGAACATTATGTGCATTAATGTTATGCATATAGAGTCTACGTTGTGGCTGAGGTAAAGTGTTAGTATCTCGATAATGAAAAACAAATAAATAGTTAATACAAAATAACGCCAACGTAGAGTCTGTTTTGTCCAGTGTACTTGAAAATTGATTCAACAAGGACAGTCCTGTTTAGGTAAAGGGAAATGAATAAAAAACTATTCACATGTAAGGCCCAGTTCTGCTGCTGGTTTTTGGATATTGCAATAGAAACATTGTTGGAATATAGGTGTGATGAACATCTCAATATCTTCTCAGTTCTGCGGGATGTGGTATTTAGAATAATGTAGAATTAGTTGTGTTTTGCATGTGACATTTAGTAGTCTTTTAATCCAATTATCAGCAACTTCCTTTTTTAATATAGAAATCATTGCTTTTGAGATGAGGGACCAGGAAGGGCTAAAATGCTAACTTTTTTTGGTTTTATAACTTATTTCTATAGCATTATATCTGCATGTTTGTGCTGTCTGGCTCTAACCTTTTCATATACCAAAGGAGTTTACAGGACAAAGGCAACAAGAAACCTGAATAGAAGTGCAGCCTTCAGCAAAGCGGACTTCGACCGGCAGGCTACCTGAGATGCAGATCGATATAACACAATCTGAGGGCACCTTGTAAAACACACGCACGCACGCACGCACGCACGCACGCACGCACGCACGCACGCACGCACGCACGCACGCACGCACGCACGCACACACACACACACACACACACACACACACACACACACACACACACACACACACACACACACACACACACACACACACACACACACACACACACACACACAAGGAAGCGTATTGTGAGGGGGTTATGATTATGATCCGGGTGATAAATTCAGACACCAACATGCCAGCCAGGCCGCTCCTGTTAGAGAGAATGAAAGAGAGAAAGTGGGATTTATATATTCCATTACTGCACTGGTGTTTTGATGGGGAATTCCCTTGATGGCTATAAAATAAAGAAACACACACAGAAGAGCAGAGGGACTCAGCTGGAGTTGCTGGTAATGCCATTACCTCTGCCTGTCTCCTATTGGATTCAGTGTAACGCTCATTAAGACAGCATTGTGCTCACTGAAAAAGGCCAAGGGCCATCTGGTTTTGCATCCGAATGTGTGTGTGTGTTCAGTGAATTTGCTCCATCTTCAATGCTGCTTCTCGTTACCTCACTCGCCTGTTCCAGAACAACAAGCTGGCTGTTCTGGTTGGATTGAACCAAATAGTGGGGCTTTTGGAAGGGACCCTTTGTTTGCTGAGAGATGTTGTTTGATTGCACGAGGTGAAATTCCAGCATGACATCATGAAACCAAAACTGCCTTTGTAGTCAAACTCGATGAATTGGCCCCCCCGCTGGATTTGGACACTGTTTTTTGGTAACATCGTGTACTCTGTGCCCGCTGGGGACGAATACCTCTATTTGTCTTTCTCTGTTTCTCTTTCTCTCATACACTGTCACCTCACCTCATTCTCTCATCCCCTGGAGGTAAGCACTGTTCAAACACATCACATCATTGGTAAACAGTGCGCCCTCACCAGCCGCCCTCCCACTCCTGAGCCCGCAGAATAAGGAAGAGATGGAGCGGGGAAACATGAGGGTGAAAACCAGTTGTGTGTTTGTGTGGTTGGCGTGAGAAGGGCAAGCAGAGGGATAATACCAGACGTTGATTCAATCTGAGAGTAGACAGAAACACAGGGTGACGTTGAATTGGGAGTGGCTAACAGGTCGCTTCTCTATTCTCAGACATACACATATAATTACATATGCAAAGGTGTGCCCCAGGGTCTCTTTCTGTGGGACTGTACTGGAGGACGCACAGACCTGTGACCAACCTGCGGTGTACCTGCATGTTTCCTCCGTTAGCCTAGCTAGTAGTGAGCTCAAACTGAATTATCTTTGTTTCCGTGTTTTTGGCTTCTGAATCGTTATTTACAGCCAAAATCCACTTTGGATGTAGAATACGTTCAATAACTTTGTAAAGCAGTTTTTTTAATTTATGCAACCAATTAATCAGCATGTTAGCTTAGCTTAGTCCAAACATTAGAAACAAGGACACTGCTAGCCTAGCTTTGACCAATCCCTTGTACATTTGAAAGTGCTCTATTCCTACATATTGTGCAGAATAAACATAAAATGCCTTTGTTGGTGAACATGAGAGGTAGGCAGATTGTTTTACTTTTAGATGGACAGGACTTGGCTATCTCCTGATAAGCTAAAGTAAGCTAACCTTAAATAAGCTAAAGTTAAGCTAGTAGCCAGTAAGTAAGTAAGTAAGTAAGGCCTAACTAGCTAAGTTCTGTCTGTAGCCTCATATTTAAGTACATTTAGCATGTATGATATGTTGTGTTTACAAAGTAGTTTAATTTTGATAACTTTTAATTTTAAGTAGTTATAATTTTCATTGTGCCCACTGCTTTCTATCGTATAACATTAACAGCAATGATGGGATAAACCTTATGACATGGATGGTGTTCCCTGAAAACATCTTCTCTATTAAATAATTCACCATCCCATCAGCATTTAGAAGCAGTCTGGAAAAAAAAAAAAAAATCAATGAGGTTGTGTTGTGAGAGTGGATTTGGTTAAACACAAAATCAATAGCAGGACTCCAGGATTCGGGATGACGTTATGTGTTGTCTGTCTGTTTGGTGGGATTCCCTCCACGCCCCCTTTTCAGCCCCCATGCAAGCACACAAGAAGAAGAAGCAGAGAGGAGTTTGTATTTTGTCATGTCTGTATTTTTGTCTCATTTTCACAAAACATGTACAGGGGAAGGAAAAGCCTTTCAATAGAACCTGAGGTATTTTTGCGTCAAGCAGCCTAAGGTATCAGGATTTTCTTTTAAAAACTCATCTAAATTCATCAGCTTTCTTAGATGAGTTGCTATTTACACAACATAATAATAATAATAATAATAATAATAATAATAATAATAATAATATTTCAATTACAACAATTTTAGCAAATGGGACAGCCTGCATCATCTTTGTTACATATCATAAATAATTCTAACAACATTTCTTAAAAATATAGGGAGGAGGGGGTGGAGAGAAGAGGTTTCTTGAGCCTCGGGTACAGAGGAATCTATCTGAACTAACTGTAGCTGCAGCAGCTCAAGGTCAAAGGTCAGAGATAACCAGAGAGAAAAGCTAATCAAGGGTCACATTTTACATTATAAATAAATAACCATCTCGCACCAGGAGAGCAACTTTTTCCTTTCTTTTACCTCAAGATATGAAGAGCTGCTTTTTTCTTTCTGTTTTGTAACGTTGTTTTTATCAGAGCTTTGGAAAATAAGAAATAAGAGCCTAAAAAAAGACAGAAAGTGAGATAGGGAGAAAGCGAGGGAGCTTCACGGACATGCATTGTGCTGATGTACCAGCAGCTTTGTACCCTGTGCCGGGCTCACTGAAAGATCCCCTGAGAATGAACAGAAGGGTGTGTGTAGGGCTTATATGCTTTACATGTGTGAGTATATGTGTAAGTGCATACAGTATAGGGTGTTTGTTGGTTTAAGCTTTGGTGGGGCGTTGGTAGGAGAGGACACTCGGTGGTAGTCTTTGAATCTCAAACTTGTGAAAGAGCGTGCACTTGTATGCATATAGTTGTTGTTATGCAAGAGCATATGATACTGGTAAAAATGTTATAATGTATATGAGGGATCAGAGTGTCTGTCGTTACTTTATCTTCGTCTGCACAGTCAATCAAAACTGATTTTTAGTCAAAGCTTGAGCCCTCAATTGTGATAAAGAGATCCTGTTCTTGTGGGATGTTCCTATCACCCTCCAAATATTAAACAGAGGCTCTACATTTTTACTATCAAAACTCCAGACTTGGCTTTTCAGAGTGTCTTGCTTCCTGGGTGTGAAGGATCACTGAACCCTATCTTGTCCTTATCAGAAAGCATAAAAGTGAGCTTCAAAGTCATACATCACTCTCCCCAAAGAAGGAACACAGCACATATTGCTTGCTTGAATTTGTTGAATGTGTGTATTTGTTTGAGTGTGTGTTCATAAATACCATACAGCAAATAATAATAATAATAATTCAACAAAAAAGAAATAAATCCACAAAACATTATATTATTTCTCATTACCAGAATGAACCAATACAATAAATTAAAACTATAACTGAACAAAAGAGTCCATTAGAAGTCCATTAAAATGGCTATATATATTCATATTGTATATATAGTATTTGTCTGTCTGTAGTCAGCCTTTCTGGTGCATGCTCAGTGGTGACCATAGATGTTGACTGGGAGCAGTGGGAGGGGGTCTATTAAGGAGCTGACGGGCCATTAAAGCAGACCCTCGCCAACCTCCCGAAACTTCCGTCCCATCACTGTTAACACTGGAAACAAGGGAGCCAAAGTCAGGAAAGACACACTGTGCTTTAAGGGGGGGGACGGGGGGGACTGCCAGTTGCTACGAGTCTTCAAAAGTCTTTTCAGCAACAAAATGCTGAGGATCCTTCATTGTTTTGGACACAGTACCACCATTAGCTTTCGTCCTCTGCCTTGTGCTGTAGTGATGTGAGGAGGCGGTGTTGTTAAGGAGTCTGTTTTTATTGTCTGGAGTTGCAGAGTTTGTAGCAGGCAGAACCACAGGGAAGAGGCCGGGGCGGACGCAGACGTGCGAGGTTCTGAGGCTTTCTGATACTGGGGTGAAGCTTTGGGGAAAACATGGGACTTGGTTCAAATCACAAGCTATACACCCACTGAAGCACACTACAATTGACCGCAGGCAAGCACTTTGTGTCCGAAATCTGTCACAATAGGAATATTCTATATAGGTAGGATGCAACATGACACTTGACCTGGGTCGTTTCTTTTTTATCTGTGACAGAGATCAGAAAAGTTAAGAGTTTCAGTACCTACAGTCACCACCGTAACCCCAACACTCCCCAAGACTTTTATTCAGATTTGTATGAGAGTTCCGGATGGCATTCCACCACAACACAGGGTCTTGTCTCTCCAGGTCGCTTGCTAACCTTTAATTTTAACCCTCTGCTTGTGGATCTATTTGTCCGTCTCTTGGTTGGAGTCTTTAACACTGTCTTTAAGGGTAGCACAAAAAACGCTTCTTCTGCTCCCCATCATATGCCACTCCCTCGAACCAGGTCTATTTGTGCCCCCAAAGGACAGCCCTGATTGTGTCCATTATCTGTCAGGATACCTCGATGATCTCCATGCTCCCAGAGAAGCTCGACTGCTTCCCGATCTTGCCCAGTTCTTCTCGGGATCGCGTCTCAGAAATGCCCTCCTCGAACTCCATCTGACAGCTGCGCCTCTTGAACTGCTTCTCTGACGCTGGGCCGCTGTTGGACAGGCTCACTGAGGACGACGAGTCTTTAAGTGTCTGCGGTGACTTCTCCCTCTGGGATTTCTCTCGTAACCGCACACCTTCACTGCACCCGAACGCCACGTATGCCGAGCTGCTCCCAAACCTCACCGACGACTCCTCTCCCCTTCCATCCCCTCCTCCTCCTCCCAGCTCCATCTCTCCCGCACCGCCCTCAACTGCCCCAAAGTGCCAGGGGGCATCTTTGGTGGGGGTGACGGGAGTGACGGGAGTGGTGGCTTGGACAGTGTCTCTGTGTTTGGTCCACATGGCCCCGGAGCCCACAGTGGGCACAGAGGGTAGTGAGAGGAGCAGGGAGCCCTTTGTGTTCTCGTCCGGGCTCTTGTGGTCCAGCGTCAGGCTGAGGGACTGTGGAGGCTGGTGTGGTTGGGAGCGGACTGGGGAACTGCCGGAGCAATGCTTGTGTTTCCTCTTGGGTCGGGACGAGGAGGAAGCAGACCTATGGACTCCTTCAGTTCCTCTAAACCCCAAACCTCCAATGCTGCCCCCGCTGCCTGGTGAGGGGAACGGTGACCCGGCAGAGTTTGGGCTGTCTAGGACGGGAGACTGCGAGCAGACGCCGTTGGAGTCGCCTATTCCGGGGCTGTCCAGCTTGCACAGCTTGGGGACGTCTTCAGAGTGTGTGGGGGCCAGGCTCGGGCAGGGGGGACTGTTAGGGGAGTAGACCGACTTAATGTCCAAGGAGAAGGAACGTTTGAGCCGATTAGTGTCCATGATCCTCTCTGCGGAGAGGTGTAGGCCGTGGAAGCCTTGCTGGAGGGAGGTGGGTGATGGCAGCTTGGGTTCTGGAGGGTCTGCCACGGATGAGTCGAAGTTGCTGTGGTGGCCATTCATCTCGAAACCTCCATTGACCTCTGAGCTTTGCTTGGCGTTGTTTTCGGAGATCTTGTCATCAGAGGTTGAAGATAGAGCTTGCAGTATCCGGAGACCCTTCTCAAACTCCAAAAGCTGCCCCAGGAAGTTGAAGTTGGGAGATATGGATGGTCTTCGGTCCTTTACAAACCTGCAGGGAAGAAAATAGTTATTAGTCACAGGAAAGCAATTTCAACAAAGCCAGTTTGACAGTAGGGTGTGGAGGGTTTTACTGATGCACAATACATAATCCTGTGCTAATGTTGTCCACACAAGGCAAAGCAAACCCTATTTTATACACACTGTTTCCTGAAAGGCAACTAACAATTTCATTTCTCCAGACTGGGAGGGGGAGGTTGACAAAATCGTCTAGCATTACTTTCAACAGTGAGTTGCCTTTTAGCTAGGGCTGACACCTTAGCTCAGCTGGTGGTGTGTGGGAGGAGCAAGCGTACCTGTAGGCATCATCTGATGACAGGCCCATTGTCTTCATGATGTATGCGATGGCGATGGTTGCTGAACGCGAGATTCCAGCCAGGCAGTGCACAATGACTCTGCAGTTTGACACCTTCGCTTTGTCTGAGGGGGGGGGGAAACGCACAGGCATGAATACACTTGTATAGCACAAAGTGTCAGGAGAAAATATATTGTAAAGCTAACTGACATTTCCTGGAAGTGTACAGGAGGACGGCTAAACGGACCTGTTATGGCGCTATTGTTCCCTAAGTGAACGTTTATTAACTAACATTTTAAATATCATGGCAATCGTGACTTGAGATTAATTCATTTCCTCATGAAGACCCTCAGTAACCTTTGTGCTTTCTACAGCTAATCCTAAGATTTATTCTATTCACTTAAGTGTTTTGAATAAATGTTCCTTTTGTCTTACCTATGAATTCATTTGTTTTGTCCAGCCAGGGGAGCAATTTCTCACAGTAGTTGTCGTTAACCGGGATGCGCATGAAGTTGCCCTCGCTGATAAAGTCTGGCTTGGGGCAGGTGTTGCTGGCATTCAGCACATAGGTGATACCATTCTGAGCCATAAGATCCTGCAGAGATAAAACAAGTTCAAGGTCATGTTTTGTTGCTCCACAAGTTATCTTTCAGTGATACAAATGAGTGAAAAGATGCAATCTAAATGTTACCTTGTTGAGGACATCCTTCTGTGAGCCCAGGTAGAGGTGTGGCAGGATGCGAGTGGGCCCTACGTTAGCCACAGTTAGGCAGGGCTGGGACAAGCTCATAGGTAGAGCAGTGGCAGGTTTCCCTTCACATAGGCCGGGGAAACAGGAGGAGAAAGCAGCAAAACCTCCTGCAGAGAGAGAAAAGAAGGAGAGAACCGGTTAGGTACACTAATGATTGTCCACAGAGCAGTCACACAACACGCTGGGAACTCTGCAAAGAGGCAGTAATGAAGTCAGCAAGAACATTGCACCACCATTAGCAGAGCAAACACTCTGCTCTGTGGGCTTTTCAGAGGTGAATCTGGGCTACAAAGTCTGGGTCGTGCAACAGGAGCAAAGAAGAGGCTCTCTGTGCTTCTGTGCGCGAGTTAGGTTAACTGCTGGGCGGCCAGGAATGTGTGTATCTGGCCCTTTAAGAGGCAGGCGGCTCCACTTTTGGCATATGTGTATGTGTATGTGTGTGTGTGGCTCTGTTTCCTGCATGAGCTCATGTCCTGTAGCAGTGCATTGCGTCAGGCTGGGAGAATGAGAGAGGCCACAGGTGCAGGGTCAGGACAGAGGCCCAGTAACATCCCCCTGACAACCGCACAGCACACACACACTCGCACATATGCATGTTAACAAGTTGATACTCTCCAAGAAGATACACTCTGAGGACATTTTCGCATAATGCTTAATATTCACTCTCACTGCCTGTAATTCTTTGTCCACTCACCCCACATCATGCCCTACTTGCCCCCCACTCCTGCACACACACTCATCCACCCTATTATAACTATAGGGCGGGGGCCAACAAGAGGTCGGGGTAAAGTGTGTGGAAGAGTGGGTAATGACCTCGCTTTGGAGTGTGTAGAATGGTGGGGAGTGCTTCAAGGAAACCCTGAGCCTCAGAACCTAATCTAAGTTCAGCCCAGACTGACCCAATCTGGGACATAGCACACACGCACACACGCACACACGTTCACTCTCACTGTGTATGTGTGTGAGTGAGACATGACATCACTCTTCTAAAGTAGCACACGCAGCACAGCACAGGCAGGACATTGCCTTCCGTTGTAACACACACCCAGCTGCGCTACTCGTGTGGCCAGCACACACACACACACACACACACACACACACACACACACACACACACACACACACACACACACACACACACACACACACACACACACACACACACACACACACACACACACACACAGTGGCAGCAGCATGCATTCTACAGATATGTGATCCTAAAAGCTGCACATTTAAGGTTGTGCAAAAATGTACAGCTGCTTTGGTATTTGGTGATATTTCACAACATCACGTATTCTAAAGCTGGGTGCATCCTAATGAGGTATTCTGGATGCACTGTCCCTTTAAAAGCAACTTGAAGAAGGGTTGTCTGTTTCCAGCTATTAATGGCAACCGGCAGAGCAATGACATCAGCGCTCTGAATAGAGGGGGTGGAGTGGAGGGAAGGGTAGATGCATGGATGTAGAAAGAGATAAATAGGATACAGAGAGAAAAGCTTAATGCATACCCTTTTTGCCTCTTTAGAGTAGACAAAAAAGCTATTTGTAGTTCACAATTGGGCTTTATACTTTGCTATTCTTTACAACTTCCACCAGAGCCTCTTTCTAGTGATCCTATGGGCGGTGCTAGAGTGTCAGTAATTGATAAAACAGAGGGAGGAAGGGAAGATCTCTGAAGGCTTTCTTCCTGGTTCCTCTGTTCCCAAGCTGCACACACACATGCTAAGAAAATAAATGGTGCTACATATAGCCTTGCACTGAGGCATATATACTGTATCAGTGAGAGGAAGCGGTATGTTCTTAGAGACAGTTAAATCAACAGGAAAAGCCTCACGTCACACAGCAAACCATTTCCCTTTTCTAAGCGAGGACATTGTTAGAGAGTTGTTAAAAGGACCTATGACAGGACGTTCCACAGTGGAGACTGGAGTGTGTGTGTGCGTCTATCACAGCAGAGAAAGTGTCCAGTGTGTGTGAAGGGAAGTGAACACATGAATGAAAAATGCTCTTGCCCTTTGATCCAGTGTACGTCTGGATTAATAATTACAGCGGTGATTACTGTAGCTGACCTCATCTGGTGTTTAATAAAGCATACACATCAGGAAGGAACGCCAGTGTGTGACTGGGAGAGTGAGTAAGAGGTTTCCGGCACGAAGGGAGACTGAAGTCAGAGATAAGAGACTGAGTGCGCCCGCCTGCTTTTTTAAGAGCCATTACATTACAATGACATGACGTCAACAAAATGACAAACACCGTCCTTGTAGTCAAAGCTTTACACAGGCTTTAGTCACACAGGAGATAGCACGTTATTGTCACTTCATCACCTGACCCCCACTCTACTTGAGGTTGCCATGACAGCAAAGGAGGACAGTGATGTTGACGACAGTTGGCTCATCGCGTCCCCCCCGAGCGCTGTCAAGATGGAATAAAACACACACTGAGCACCCAGAGGGCAGACAAAACACACAACAGAGAGCACCAAATAACCCAAAGAGACATGGCCTCACATTCTCCACAAGACAACGATGACACATCCGTGCGTCCCAATCACAGCACAAACACACTGTACACTCACACTGAGGTCACTGAAAATACCCTGTGACACACACCAGCACAGCTGTCCTTGGAGATGACATCAGAAAGTCAACAGGGAGAGATGAGTTCACCTTCAGCGCAGCATGATAATCAGACGAGTCCGACATACTGCTAAATTGAAATCAAGGGATACAACTGGGTTCAGAAGTCAGAGTAATCATGTGGTGCCTTCATGGTAGTCTATGCCACTAACATTTCATCAGAAAATGAAGGGAAAACATTTTCTGCTGGACAGAAATAATGGCTGCCGTCATGCTGAGGTCATGATCATGTGCTACACAGTCCTATTTCAACTTTTATTTTCAAGCTTGCAGATGACATTCGGCACAGTGCTGTATCACTCTGGAAAATATCCTTGTACATGATGTGACTAACCCAATTTTCAACACACACTCTGAAAAAATAAAAGAACATTTGGCTGGAAAGACAACACACAACAACCGGGAAAGAGGGCACTGTGTCGCCTTCTGCAGTGCTAGCCGGCGCTGACTTCCTTTTTCCGTTTTCCTCTGCCCACTTCATCATTTATGCAACTGCTTATTTTCCTCTCTTGCCCTGTCAGAGCCGAGCACTCAGGCCTCCTTTGTTTCTGGTTCCTCCTCCTCATTCAGCAGACATTCTCTACAACTAAATACTCACATTCCTATTTCAAAAGTGCAGGTTATTAATCCACAGACATAAAAAAGTGTGTCCTGTCAAATATATTTGGATCAAATTCTGAGCTTTTTTAGGGCTTTGCTGCAGCTTGGATCGATGCTGATAGACAAATGGAAGTGGAATCCCGGAGAGATTGAACGGACAAACGGACACACACAACACCTGCCTGGCTGTTATGGTTAATGGGTGTTGTGCTGTTACATCACTGCTGTTGGTACTATTGACTGCCCTCGTCAATACAGGCTCACCCCTTCCCTCTGGCTCTGTGTGTGTGTGTGTGTGTGTGTGTGTGTGTTTCAGACACTGTGTAGCTTTCAGTTGCCCTCTTTAACTCGTCTGTTAATAGAGAGGGGGTGCACACAAGACAGGCGTACACACACACACACACACACACACACACACACACACACACACACACACACACACACACACACTCTCTTCTGCAGCTTGGGGGCATTGATCTGCCTGAATGAGTCCCCCGCACCCCTCCATCCCTCGCTCTCCTCTGTAGTTCATATCGGGGGAGACATGACGCCATCCTCTGCGCCCCTCCAGCTGTCCCCTCCACTCTGAGGGGACATTAGCATCTCAATGTGACCCCCCCCCACCACCATCCCTCACCCTCCCAACATGACATCATTGCACACATGTCCCACTCAGCTCTACAAAGGCTGTGCAGCAGCGAAGCAATGAGAGTGTGTGTGTGTGTGTTTGAGGGGGGTAGAGCCTGTCAGAATTGTGTAGATCGAGAGCCCATAGATGAGGTAGGGGGATGATGTCATCGCTTTCTGCACAGGGCGTCAGGTTGATGATGGTCGGGAATTTCTGTGTTATGCTGGCTGATGGTTAAACTGTTCATTGTTCCTCTATCTTAGCAGGCAGATAGCGGGAGTATGTCACTTTGATCAACTGCTGTTTCAGCAGTAACGTGTTAATGCAAACAGGACTATAAAGCCTTCTTCTAATTCAGACTTCTTTCACAAGTCTATTTCTACAGAGGCATGCTGAGGAGCCTCAAAATAACCTGTGACAGACACAATCCTATTTTCACCTGCTAATGGCAAACGTGTGATTTTGTCTTTTGTTAGCTTTGTCTGAGCTAATGAGTTTGACAGCTCCAGCTGCAAAGCCTTGTAGAGACGGATTGTACATGCACAAAGAAACACCTATCAGTGGGAAGTGTGGCAGGTGTTGAGGGCTGCTGTGCTCACTGCTTTAAACTGGCTTTGTTATATGCATTGCATCTACATCTGCATGCAAACTGTAAACCCATATTCTCATACAGTTATGATCCAACTATATTACCACCAGCAATATTTTGTGCAATAAGCTTTTTAGTGCCGGTATAATAAGGATTTTTTCCCCTAGCACTACAGCTCTGCAGTGCCTCAGAGCTCTGTGTGAAAGGTGTTATGTTAAACACCTGCAGTGCACACTGCACACATATTGATAACATGATCTACACAAGACACCATTCTGCAGAGGGAGAGAGGGAGCAGGAGCAGGAGAAAAGCCAAGAGCAGAGGAGAAGAAAGATACAAAGAAAGAGCCTTTGTGATAGTTTTACATCTCAATGGCCACAGGCTGAGAGAGCATGAGCACTATGTCATACCGCGGGTCACGGTTACCCCCCAGGGCCCTTTTCATCTTCTTTCCTTCCTCTTCATCGCTTCTTGTGCTTATAATGTCATCCCCTTAATCCTCTTTTTCTTATGCTGCCTCTCTAAACACATTAGCTGCAAGCACAATAAGGTGGGAAAACAATTAGCATGTTTGGCCATGTATAGCAGTATCTACGCACAAGTCCTTAATATTCAATTCACATCTAACGTTTGCAACGTGTCTGGACTAGA